ATATAAGGCCCCTCAAGCTTCTACAGAGACATAGCATTTTTTGTGTGTCCTCCTCCCCTGCACTCAGCTGATTGAGCATTAGTGTGGTTGTGCTTCACAACTGCAGGACAAAGTGTGCACAGAAGAGGAGGCAGCAACTGTGTCTTTTACAGACTTCTTCCTTGCTGCCAGACCAACTTGTGCAGTGTAGACATCAGAATGCCAGAAGCAGCCCGGTTCCTGGAAACAGTTCTCCACTCTCCATGGCAGAGGTCAGCAGAGTCTGCTGTGGAGGAGCAGGGGATGTGCCTAAGCCTGGGTTTGTCCAGCCAGGATGGTCACTGAGAGCAACACAGCACAACAGCCTCAGGATGGTGCACAGGAGCCGGGCCAACCCACACTTACAGGGCGATGTGGTGGAGGGTGGCTGGGGGATTACTGCTTCGTCCTGACCACTGACAATCACAGTAACATGGAATCTCTCTGCAAAAGCATCTTCTGTGCGTTTTCCAGACATTTGTGATGTTAGTGGCAAAGTGATCCAGTGCCTTTCTGACTTCCCAGCAGTCTCCATCTACCATGAAATAACTAGCAGAGCCAAAATATTCCTCCCACTCCCTACAAAATAGCTAGGAAATTCCTGGCACAGCCAGGGAGGCTCTGAGCACTGATGACTCAACTGGGAGATGCAGGATGACTTTCAAAGCCAGTTAATCTGACTCCAGGCTCGCCTGGAAAATGAAAACATGCTGTGCACTGGGGTAGCAGGCATCACCCTGGTTTTCCTTTTACAATAACGCCTGAGTCACGCAGTGAGACTGGGCAGGAAGCTGGGTCAGGGGCCAGCAGAAGGTTTCAGTAAGGGGACAGCTCTGCAGGAGCCACCCACCCAGCTCCAGCAGCACTCAGCCAGTCCTCAGGTACCACCAGCACAGCCCATTACTGAGTGCACAGTGACATGGGGCAGGTTCTGAGCACCAGAATCCCAAGTAAAGCTCCTCAGAGAATGCTCTTCAGGGCTGCAAGTGCCTGGAGCACTCATTACTGCCAGGATGCAGCCAAGCAGCAGACACAAGCCAGCATCATTAACTGGGGCCAGTGAGAGAGCACTGTGGTATTGGGACAGTGGACTGGAGTCTGGACTGGAGCCTGGGCATCTCCTGGGAACCAGGCATGCTACAGATCCACTGCTTTCAGGAGCACAGTGCAGCCCCAAGTCTGGCCTCTCAGGGCATTTCTGGGGGGTGGACCAGCTAGGCCCCAGCACTCCACAGCCTGTCCAAGCCTCCAGGACCATGCCAAGAGATGGCAGCACATGTTTCTTGTAATAGTCAGACAGGCTGACTGCTCCAGTAACTGTGGTTTTTTTAATATTTATTTTCTGACAGTTTAGCAAGTCCCCTTGGCTATTCTTCTTCCTCTCCATTTGTCAGCAAAAGCTGTTATGTTCTTCCATCACCTGCATTCCTGAGTGGGATAATAAATCCCGGCCCAATGGGCAGGCTCAGCACCTGCCTGCTGCCAGGCAGGTCACAATTCCACAGCCCACTTGGCACACCATCCCCTTGGATGGGGCCACACAATAGCCAATCCACATGAAACAGGCCCAGATTACCGTTTCCTTGTCCCCGTGGGCTGGGGTTCGCTGACAGGAAGGCTGTTCTCATGCACTTCTACAACTTGAATCACCGCCCCGCTCTGCCCAGATAAGTAATCACCACTGACCCAAGCAATTGGCAAAAAGCATGAGACTCATGAAGACTATTTCTGGGTCAGACCTGTGGCAGTAAAACTCTTCCCGCTTGAACAGACGCAGCTTTTTCCTGTGTTTGGAGGAGATGCGTCATTGGTGAAAGGACATGTGCCTGGCTACATGTGCACCAAAGAGCCATGGGGACCACCCCTCTGTGCACATTGCCTCTCTCCACCACCACTGCAGGACTCTGCTGTGGATGAGGCAAGGCTGCTGTTTTGGTACTAAGACAAACTTCCCTAAATGGTGTCACTGTAATAATCTTTAAAGCACATTCTGGTCACACTTTATTATGGATTACATGAAGCTTCCCGTGTTCAGGCAGACACCTGAAGAGGCTGCCTCTTCCCTTCCCCACCTTGTTCTCCCAGACACAAGTACTTGCTGATAGCCCAGCACAAAAGCAGGTGTCTTGAGAGCCTGCTCAGGACATGGCTCTTTCAGCATGTACTCATTATGCTCCATTTGCTGCATGTGTTTTTACTCCTCTGTTTGCTGGATATCTTCCTGAAACTATTAACGTTCCTGCATTGTCAGAAAGCCTTTCCATTTTATTTAAATTAATTTCATTTAGATAGGTAATGCATCTGTAAATAAAAGCAAATTGAATCATTACATGAGTATCAGACTTTAAAATTAGCCTAAATCCATCTCTTCACTGCTTTAACCACTGACTTTCTTTTTTCCCCTCTATATGGGCAATTGTAAAGGGCACGAAGAACACAGAGATATGACAGGTTACGCACTACGGAAAATTTGCCTATAAGAAGGCACTCACTTATATCAAAAAGTTTGGCAAATTCCTGCTCAAAGAATTCAAAGTTCTGGGTAGTTAAAGGTAAACTCAGATTAAGAAAGACTGAACTTTTAATTTAATTAAAAATCTGTTAAGTTCAAAACATGACCTATTAATAATTTATGGGACATAAGCCTTCAGGTCAGAAAGGAATTTCCAGTATGATACACAGAAGAATGACAATTCTGAAGATGCATCAATATATTCTTAAAATTACGCCACAGTCTGATCTCTATTAACCTTGCAAAGACCCATACACTGAAGAGTCATTTTCTATATTTTAAGGAGGGGTAAAAATGGGCATTTTCCAGATCAGTGATGGTGAGATGAAATGAAATTTAATTAAAAATGCTCTCTAGCAATAATAGCACCAGGTGTTGTATCAAAATATGCACAAAAAACGCTAAAGTACTGTAATTTCCAACCAATTGCCACTTGGTATTATAAAAGTGGAATAATTGTTCAAATAGTCAAACTACTCAAATACTATTGTAAATCCCTCTCAAAGTAGGAACACATTTCTAAATGAACATGAAAATCTAAAATGTCTAAATGGTGTATTTATTACAAATCAATAAAAAACTTTTCTGTGTTCTCTCAGTTTTATTTTTTTAATGGGTCACAGCATTAGTTTGAAGGACAAATTGTAAAAGGACGGAAAGAGTACAATTCCCAATGCAAAACAAACCAAGTACAAGAAGTTGGCATTTCAAAGCATGTGCAAAATGCAGCCTTAATTTCTGGAATGTACTGAGCCCAGTTACTTGCATTTTGCTTTTTCAGAGAAAATAATGGGCAAGGAAAACAGAAAAATGAGGATAGAAAATCAGAATATCAATAGAGAAGGAAATAAAATGGGACAGAAAATCAGGCTATACTTAGCCTCCAAAAGCTAAGAGATGTTACAAATTGGATTATTTTTAATTTTTACCTGTATTGATCTCAACACAGAGTATGCAGCTTTCATATGGCTGCTAAAAAGTTCCTAGACAGCTCTGAAATGTCTCTGCATCTGTTTATTTTTATATCTTGTGATATTAAAACAATACTGAGATTTAAGCGAAAAAAAATTCTGTGACTGAGTCAGTGAGTTCTGAACCCTAGGAACCAGCAATGTAGCTCTGAGTGAGAAGCGTGGAAGCGAAACAGCAGAAGCAGCACTGACCTAACCAAGGCTGTGTCCCATGCTAATTTCAGAGCATGACCTACCTAAGTGAGCAAAGGCTTGTAAGAACAAACATACATGCAGTATGGCTTATAGCGCTATAGTTGAGAAAGTGACCCAACAAACATGAGAGGTGGAAATCTGTGATGCTAAACAAGGAACATTTGCAGAAATTGTCTTCTCATCATTCCTTGAAAACTACAAATATCACTGTAAGTAAAAGCAACTTCCAAACTATAGACAAAAATCCTGAATGCAAACTTTACCCTGTCTTCCACAACACAATGCAAGTAATAGCCAATACATCCAGAGAAAGGCTCAGTCTTCTCATTCATGCTAGACAATATATTTTCCATTCTCCCACTTCTCTTCCTGCACAGAAAGGAAAGGCCTTCTATTTCTATTCACATCTGTTTCTTGTTTTTCTATCCCCATAACTCCTGTATCTTTTTTTTTATCCCAAACAAAGTCTGTAGTTATGTGCAAACAAGACTGATGACAACAAGCCTTTAAACACTGTAAAAATACTTTGAAGTATTAAAATGACCATATGTCACGTGTCATAATGAAAACCAATTTACTTAGACTCTCCATCCTTTTCAACCTGTTATTTAACAGAGTAAATATTTCAGTAAGAATTTTACAGTAATGGCTTCTTTCCTGCCAAAAAAAAAAAATTAGTGTGATTGTTTCCTGCTTAATTGCCACTTTATAAAATGGAAACCACAAATAGTTTTATGATTTATCAAAATCATAAAACAAATTACAAAAGTTATAGCCTTCATGTAGAAATATCTAATCCTAAATCATCTACCAGAAGATATATGGCGATATTTTGTAGACTTAGTGTTTTTTTCATAACTCTCAGAAAAATAACTTCCTAACTTAGTGCTTATTCCAACACAAGATGCCATACTTAGTTTTGTTTTTTTTTTAGTTAAAAATATCAGAGAAACAGATTTAAACTGCAAGAAATCAGAGGCAAAGGAATAAAAAGATAAAAAATTATCCTTCAGTAAATAGCTTTTAAAATCAGGAAACAATTAGAAGAGACAAAAGCAGCACAAAATGCAGAGGATGACTAAAAACATGAGAGAAAGGAAAGGAGCTACATAGACAGCATAACCGTATCTTTTCTAAAATGCAGATAACATACAGATATACTCTCGTTAAAGACAAAGAAAATATAAGCCAAACCACTGATTCAAGAGTCAAGATACAAAACAACAACTACTGAAATCTACAAGGTATTTGTGATACAAAAGGAATGCTATACATAAACCCATATGTAAAACAATCAAGGAAAGTAAGAACAGGACGGTAGTTTTATTTCATGTAACTGAAGTAAGAATTCGTCAGATTCTGGCTCTATTCAAGTCAGTCCATGTTTCACCAGTAGAGTTGAGCCTTGGGAACTGGCCGCCTGGGGGGCAAATCAATGAGCTGTTTGCATTACTGGATCCTCTTGCAGCAAATACAAGTTTGTTTTAGCAGGCTGATTATGGGAGAACTAAGAAGAAATAACAAAAGTTATTTCCTTTGCCTCAGTACTGGCATATCTGGTAAAAACGCACAAACAAAACAACCCCCCCTAAAACACCCAAAACCAAAACAAAACAAAACAAAAAAACCCAAAAAGTGAACCCTGACATGTATAAACACGGTACAAAGTATAACTTCACAGCTGTTTGAAGGAAGAGGGTGTTTCCATCCAAATTAACTGAGAACAGACAGGTTAAAACACAGGAATGGACATGAGCAGCAGTGCCAAGAGTTTTTTCACAGGGGGATTTTACAACAGAAAATCTTCCCACGCTACTGAGCAGTGGCTGGCTCGAACATGTCCAGTGTTATGTAGGGTTGTCCTGCAACATTTTGTTGAAAAGGAGGTAAGACACTTGACTGGCTTTTGCATTCATCCATATTGTGCTCTGGCAAGCTCTCAGAAATAAGAAATTCCCTTGTTTTAACAGAATTTTTAAGGTATGGATTGAACAGTGTTTTTTCATTGAAATCTTCCACCTTTAAAACTTCATCATTTTCTTCATTTTTGATTGAATTCTGTTGGGATCCACACAAATCATTTGCCAGCATTTCCATGGGTTGGATTTCCTTCACTAGTATCAAAGTTGACTTCATTTGGCTTCTGGTAAATTGATCAGTGATCACATAAGACATGGATGGCAAAAAACATTTAGCAACATCATTTTCTTGTTTATGCAGTATCTTTTTATCTCCATTGATCATGTCTTCTGCATTAATATCAATACATTCAGAAACATGGTTTTCTTCAGGAAAACAATGTTCCAAAACACTTATGTCTTCAAAGTCTACAGTTTTAGCCTCAGATGCCAACTTCTTCAAAAGTGAATTATTCTGTCAGTACCAAGAGATAAATTGGAGAGTTATATACAGATAGATAACATATTAGTTTGTTTTTTAAAAGATAAATTATTGCCATTTGAACTCTATTTGACTCATAATTTTAGAAGTGCACTAATAAAGAGTTCATGTGCATTTCAGCAGGGATGCAGCTATATGTGAATGAGTACTAAAAATGACAATGTTATTCTGTTCATTTGTTAAACAGTTTCATAGTATGTCTTCTGTGCTTAATGAAACAAGAAGTTTCCATGAAAGCTCAGAATCAGGTTTGGACTGTGTCCATCTTTTCTACTCTAACCAGTCACTTATGGGGAAAAAACTTTAAATCTCATTCTCCACAGATTACACTTTCTACGTAAAACTGATCAACTCCACCTCATTCAAATACACATCAAAACTTTAATAAGGCATAAATATTCAACAAATAAAAAGACAGAAATATTAGTACAATAATATGCCAAATCTTACTGCATGTGGCAATACATTTTTATGGAGAATGGAGGACTTATCCAAATGTGGGAACCTGATTCAGTAGATGCAAAAACCTGTGTAAATTGAATTGACTATATTAAATCAACCATGTCTGCCAACCACTCAGGAACTTCAAAACATTATTTCTCATTATCATATGAGAATTAAAAGAATATACTTTATGAAGATGCATGTTCTCTGTTATGAAGAGTATTTTGTAGCACTTAGAAAGAAGAATGAAACTCTATATACTTTTTTTAAAAGTTATAAAATTACTGTCAGAGGACTTCTTTTCTCTCCATTTGATCCCTTCTTTAATACATAAGATTGCAATTATTACCATAGATGCAGCAAGAGGCCATTCCACTGCAATGCTCTCTGCAGGATTTGGTATATCAGGCCAGCAAACCTTCTTAAACCTATCATTGAGACAGTAATTTTAGTCAAATTATGACAGAAATAGATTATTAATAATAAAATTAACAAACGTCCGGAAAGTCCACATATTGCTAAAATACCAAATTTTCACAAAGGAGGTCTTTTCTATATTAACACAGCCTTTTTTCAATGAAATTGTTTTCCCATACACTGACTTTTATTACAAAAGATCTCAACAAGACCTTTTGGGTTACAGAGACATTGTAGAAAAATTAATAACTCACAAAAGTAATTTTTAATTACATTATATATTTTCTATGTATATACTTACATATATATTTTTTATATTTCTTATAATATACTATATTATAATATATGAAATAATAGCATGTCAAAATAAGGCTGTATACAAAATCTGTTGTGATCATGTTTCAGGGTGTTTCTTCAGTGAAAAGCCACTTCAGGTAAACTTGGCCCAAGGAAAGTATCCCAAGCACTACACCACACTAGAGCTAAGCTGGGTTCCAATGTTAGCAGCAGATAAATGATGCTCACTCATTTAATCACTCATTGATACTGGGTATATATGTAAGGGAATGAAAAACAGTCCAAAGCTTGACTTTTCACATTGTAATTTGCTTACACAAGAATATAAGCACTCAACTGCATCTCGAATATTGTCCAGAACCAAAATATAATTTCTTATTATTGCAAAAATACAGAATCCACAACACAGAAGAAGATGTAAAAGTGGAAATTACACTTATTTATTCAGCCATACTTATCACCTGATGCTTCGCTAGACAACCATATTAGTTCTAATAGTTTAGAACACCCCAAAACAGTTAAGATTTTTAACCTTCTCATTAAGCTTCAGCCAAACAACCCAGTCACTTTTATGTGAAAGAAAAACATATTTTATAACCTCAAAAAACCCCTCAGATTCATTGTTGTGATGTTATTACATCCCCATGCTCTGAGAAAGCAATTTCAAATCTGGCAGGGGACACCTGTGACAGCAGATTATGAATCACATACGGATACAGATCCATATTCATGGATCAAGTATCCAAATGCTTTCACACAAAGCATGACTTTTTTACAGCTCAAGGGAAGCATCACGAAGTAACAAAAGCAATATTATTATAGCTAAGATAAGCAATTATATGAAATATGTTCTAGTGCCGTACTAGCAGATATATTTCCTACATGCCTAGGAAACTTTATTTTTGGTATTATTAATTTTTCAGTAACTGACTTTAGGTATGCTCCCTTCAACTGACTGACAATAGAACTGCAAATGGCATATAGCATTTTCCACAGAATTATATAGGTGACACATAAATCTGTTTCTCCTATTTATTTTGTTCTAATTTACTGAACTTTCTAAAATTAGTACTTGTTTTTGGACTGGAGTACATAAACTGCAGTTAAAGTATAACCTATATGCTTATTTATTTGCTACTCTAATTGCTTATTTTCTTAATTTGACATTGGTTTTGAGCCCAACAAAAGGATTTATAAGATATATAAAAATTTGCCTTTTACAAGGTAAAATTAACAGGTTGAATTTGGTTTTAGACAGTAGCAAATGTACTTATGCATGTTATATAAAAATTTGCCTTTTACAAGGTAAAATTAACAGGCTGAATTTGGTTTTAGACAGTAGAAAATGTACTTACACATGTTTTTTCAAAATGCATGTTACCCAAAGGCCTAACAGACAGAACACGCTTATTCCAACAAGTAGAGCAATTAAAATAACATCTTCTTTATCTTTAGAGGAAAAAACACACAAAAACAAAACAACAATCAGCCCACAGATGTCTGTCATTTCTTCATGTATTCCTTGAAGATAGCTAATTTTCAACATCCAAGTCACCTAATTAGCACATTTCTAAAGAGCCAAAATTACTCAGAATACTGTATGGTGTGCATTGTATGATGTGTCAAAAGATGAGTATTTTGAATCCAACAAGCCATAGTTACTCAGTCAGAAAACCAGGTCACAATGAGACTTCTCAGGATTTCTCAGGAACACATGTATTGTATTTTAAAATTTCCTTTATTTAATAGAATCGGACAGTAATTTAGATGGGAGGGGACATCTGTAGGTCACCTCATCCAACTTTAAAATTAGAATCAAACTTCCTAGGGCCATACAAAGCCAACTTTTGAAAGCAACCTAAGATGAAGACTCTACCACTGCTTTGGGCACCTGTTATTTTACAGTCACCTCACACTGACACATAGTGCCACTTCTATCAGTTACAACAAAATAAATAGCAAGTTAAGTGCAGGAGATAGATTTTAAATCACAAAAAATACAGTTACTCTGACTGAAACACTGCACAGATTTCTGAGATAGCTTCCAAGTACTAGAGGCAGGTACTGACAGCAAGAGACCTGACCTCAGCACAGTCTAACATACCTTGTACTTGACTAGCAATCAGCAGAATAATTCACAGGCAAAAAATGGATTAGTTTTGAGTCCCATGACAAGTTTAGGAATAGCTCATGCACTTTTTTAAATTTCAGTTTGGCCACCACTATGACATTTTAGCAATGTACTGAAAACATTGTTCCAGAAGCTGAAATGGGGAAATGTCTGAACTTCTGCCATCATACCAATCTCCTTGGTAATATCTGGCTAGAACAAATAGCAAGAAATAGGAAAAGGTATTTCCCCACACATACTGGCCATAACCTGTACACTCATTTATCAGTTAAGCTTATATACCAGAAAAGATAAAATACAATGCCTGGTTATTCTAAACCTAATACCTCAGATGGAAAAGTCTACTTTTTAATAAACTCTTAGGCATTCCATCCCATAATTGACAGCAACAAACTGCTGCTTCCACAAACATCCATAGCACTCCACAGCATTACTGACAACTGGGTTTGACTTCTAATCTTGAGCTTTTAGTCTGTGAGATGGTCAGTGAAATTGTGTTAAATTCAGCTACTGCTGGCAATTCTTCCTTGTTTTGTTCAACAGTCCTTTAAAAAAAAGTTGACAAATGCCTAAACAACGTCCCAAATTCTGTATTCCTTATTCCCAAACCCATATTTAAAATAGTAGTAACTAATCTGGAATATTACTTACCCAGTTTCAAAGTTTTAAAGGTCTTTGGCTCCCCGGTGGTTCCACCAGCTTCATTGCTTGCCATGATATAGACAGTATACTGTGTATTAGCCTGTAAGGACTTCAGTCTGTATTGTCGAGCATTAGAGTTCACTGTTTCATCTTTTTAGGAGAAGATTTATGTCAATAAACACAAAAAAATAGTGTTATATCAGGGAACTGTACAATTATTTAGCAACATTTACAATAACAGATCATAAAGTATTTTAAAGACAATTTGAAATACAAAGTGATCTTATTAATCCTTTTATGGAGAAAACTTAAATTACTAAAAAATGTTTATCAATACTACTTAAAATTTAAAGTAAATACACAAACCATTATGTATTTATTTTTCAAAATTAAATACAAATATTTTTTCTAATATTAAAGACAGGTGAATTATGATCTCCTGTAGTTTATTTTATCACTGAAAACAGTGTTTTGAGAACTTTATTTCCTTAAACTAGTTGGCTCAGAAATTAGGAACTTGAAATAGTTTCTGTAGCTTGTGAAGTTTACCTATATTTCTAGTACATGCAGTTAGGCACTGATCATCCAAAAAGATGCAATCTATCAGCACTGGGATATCACCCCAGTTATGGCAAAGGAAAGCCAAAATCAACAGGAATTTTTTTCCAAGTGTAATGGTTTTAAGTATTAGGCCTTCCTTCCTGGTTGCCAGGAAGGCAGGAAGTATTCCATCCTATTCCTTTATGTAACCCAAACATATAAATAGATGGAGAGAGAAGCCTCTTCCTCTCTTTCCTTCTGGCAAGGTTTGGAGACAGCAGATTCCCCGCAGCCAGTCTTGCTCCTGTGGGGGAGCTGAGGCCTGGCCGGGCCTACAGGGCCTGTTGTTTCTGCCGATCCGGGGTCTGGTAGCGTGGCGGCGGCGTTTGGGCGATTGTGCTATCTCAAGGAAAGTAGTAAGATATTCTTTTGCTAATTCTTTAGTTTGCTAGATCCTGAGTTTTTGATTGTGTATACCTATTTTGGTTTTGTCCTTTTTGTCCCTTTCCCTTTTCCTTTTGGAATTGTATATAGTATTTCAACTGTATTTAACTGTAATATACATAAATACATTTATTTTAATACAGTTCGGCTAGTCTGTATTTTTTCACAGTTTTTTTTTCTTTCCTCTTTGCCAGAGGGTTTTGGGGACTTGGCGGGGAGCCAAATAAAACTTGGACACCAAGTTTCAAAATGCTTTTATGAATAGAACTCAATGTTTCCAATACCTTGTCCAATACTGAAATTAGTATATGATGTGCTTCACCTTTAAATTTTTTTTAAGCAGGGCATATATTCTACCATCCTATGTCTACTAACAGTACCGAAAGCAGCTTCCTACTATGAAATTACAGTCGCTAAAACATTTTCTGGTGCATAAAGTCTAAGTCATCTCATGTCATTATTCAGTTCAGTCAAGTAACACTCAGGAAACAGTTATGCTGCAATACGCCCAGAGTCAAACTGAGTTTCTCTTAAATCAAGGAGGGAAAAGTGAAATTCTAGAGTTAAAGGCCACCAGTGAAGTTACATTGGCACACACCTCATGTTCTATTCTCATCAAGAAGATGTGACATCAGAGAAGCCTCAAAAACCATCAGTACGGTATGTTTCAGAACGGTATGTTTCTGTCATTTAAATTTAACTCCCCTGAGTTCATATTTAGAACTAATTTTCTAAAGAAAATAATCTGAACCCCTAAAATGGACACAGCCTGCTTTACATTAGAAGTAATATGGACATGTATTGCTCTGTAACATGAGGCTGCATTTCACAAGGATGACCCTGCACAAAGCAGTCAGCATTAAATTACTCAGAAACCAACGTGGCAGGAAAAATAGCATGTAGAGGACTGAATCTGAAAGAAATAATTAGCCTTCCCTTTCAATTTAAAAATTACCAAGAATACTCATGCCCTGGTTGTAAACTGGATATCCAGAAGAAACAGAAGACATCACAAGATTTGAAAGTCTGAGAACTTTTCAAAAGAGATTGTGTTAGGTGCCTGTTAACAGTGATGTCTCATAAAATAGCAGGGAAAAAAACATTTCTGAAGCACTGAATGTTCCAACAGCATTTTTCATAAATTGTACAGGAAGAGAAATTTAGGCTACCAAAACCCTTTTCATAAAATCTGCTGAGATTTAAACTAAAGAAGCTCTGAACAGATAGCATTACACTGTCAGATTGTATGGATACTGTTCCTGAGGTAGAGATTAGGAATATGCTCAAAGTTATGCTATCAGCCTCCAGACCAGAAAAGCAATACCAAGTACAGAAAATCAAGCATCTGAAGAAACTGATCTAAAAACTATGCCCAGAGAAACTATTTCTTGGCAGCTTAATTTAGCTTCTCAACTGTTATTTCCTAATTTGCTTTTAATATAAAATTGACTGTAAAAACATTTTTAACAGAAAATTTCCACCATAGTGTTCCAGAAGCCAAAGGGTTCCAGAAGCTGAAGGCATGTCCTTCCAAAGATGTGAATGGAATTTATAAACACACTGAACCCTCATGATCCATGAACTTGCAAAAGACCTATGACTCTCCAATATATTTTAGCTCCTCTACTCCTGTCATTAATTTTTCGATTGAGTTCAAAGGTGTGTCATGATGGAAGACAGACAAAAAAGGGATGAACACTAGTACATACGTAAAATGGTAAAACAGCAAGTATCTGACAAGTAATACTCATTACTTTGGCATAATCTGGCAAATTTCTTTTTTTTTTTTAACTGTTAATGGCAAACAATCTGCAAAATGTTCCTCATATGTCAGTTTTCATCCCGGTCTGGAAAGGGAAGAGGAATAATAGTGCTGCCATACACTGACTAAGTTTATCACCTAGATCCCTCAGATTTACATCTGAGAAGCAGAAGGACAATGTAGTCAACAGTCAAGACTGTATTACCATGGGTAGCACAACACTAGTAGTAAACTGAGAGTAAGCAGTGCTGTACAAAATAAGTTCAGAAAAAAGAAACTGAGAAAAAGGACACGTATTGCATTAAAGTACTAAAGTAGGGACTATTCACTAGAATACCACATCATTTCCATTGAAACTAAACATTTTTTTAATCTGTACATAAGCCACATTTTAGAACCAGTATCTTCAGACATATTTACATATTATATACAATATGATACAGAATAACAAAGCTTGCTACTAACTATGACAATAACTATCTGCAGACAGCATATTGTCATAATTCTGTTGAAAACATCACTGTTTAGTGTATACTTACTCAATTCTTTTCCATCTTCAGGTTTATAAAATATTGTATAGTTAGTGATAAATCCATTTCTTTTATCCTTTGAAATCTTATTCCATTTTATTGTAACTTCATTTTTTCCTGGAATGCCTGTGTCAGCCACAGGTCCTTCTGATGGTTCTACATAGAAGCATCAGAAAATAGAAAAAGTACTAAACGTCAATATTCCACAATGTTATCCATCTGTGTTACTTCACACATGCCAGTAAAATTAGGAGCAACAAATGCACAGGAAAATATGTAATCTCAGTGCTCTGACGTAGTCCGTAACTTTTCTCACTCTCTTTATATGGGATTTCTTCTGATAAAACTTCCCCTCATTTATTCTGGTGTTAGCATAGTTCTAAGTGCTACTGCCTTTCCTCACAGGATCAGAGACAGATCAAGAGGTAAAGCAACGCTACATACTCATGGGGGAACTCAGATGCAAGGTCACTGTGTGTGCAGGACGTCTCAGGCTGAGCTGAGATTTAACTGCTGTCTCCAGCACACCCAGTCTTGCACATTACATTAGACAAAGCCTTCCTACTTACACAATACCACCTCACACACATTGCTCATAACTTCCCAGGAAGAGTTCCCTGCATTTCAGCTTTAAAACAAATAACTTGCTTCCCATTCTCTGACAACCTTGAGTGCTGTCATAGCTACCTATAAACAGGAAAGCATTCGACACACAGCTCTAATTGTGCTAGTAAGTATTACTCAAACATAAAATATTCCACTACCTCTTCCCAGTAATTAATGCTGTTTAGTAGAGCATTGACCTATATATGCACACACACAAATCAACATTTTCACATGAAATCTTAAAATTACGAGTAAACTACATTCTTACAGCTGTGTGTATAAATCACTAAATTCACATTAAACTTCTACAAATAAAGACACATTCCTCCTCTTCCCTCTCCTCAACACTATTTCATCTACGGTTTCTATCTAACTACAAATGTCATGGCTTCTTACTATTTTTTATGTGCAGGACTGCAAATATTTTGTTACATTATAAAATTTAACAAAAAGCAAGCTTTTCAAACCATTCATTTTATTCTGTTAGTAGAATTTCATCATATATTAGGACTTACAAATGCAGTCAAGCACTAAAATCAAGCATATATCTTAATGAACAGTAACATTGAAGAGATAACTAGTTTAAAAAAATCCTTTCATGCTTGTAGCTATACACTTTCCAAGTGCTTTGTGTAAAGTATGTAAACTTTACAAAAAATTAATGGATTGAAGCAGCAATATCCCAGTATCAAAAGATGCATGTTTTCTTACTGAACAATTTTGTCACTGAACAAAACAGAAATCAAGAGGCCTGAAACCTTGGGATTTTTCCACTTTCTCCATCTCTCTTTCAAATAATGATAGTACTAAATTGATCAAAGACAATACATTCTGACAGACTACAATATATCTTTCACAACATTATTAGTTTAAAATACATACTTTTTTGTTGAACATAAGTTTGTACGGTATATGGAGCTGCTACTTTATTTCCATAAAGAGGATACACCGAGATATTATAGCATACAAATGGTTTAAAGTTTTCTGTAAAGGAAAAAAAGGAATATTTACATACAATTCTCTATGTGAGATAAATACAATGAAAATAGACTAAATCACAAACAAGTTCTAAATATAGTGTTACAGATTATTTCCTTCAACTCTTTAGCAAGCACAACATGTATTTATTACCTTGAACACTCATTACTGCCCTTTAACACACTTTTTTGCTAGTAGTATTCATAAGAGCACGTGGTTTCTGACTCATTTTTCACTAGAAATACTTTGAATGGGTCATTAGACTTCAGCCTTATATGACTTCTCCATATGAACCCACTTACTCATCTCGAAAGAGTTTATGGTTTTGGAGGAAGTTTCTATTTTCAAATAACCAGTAAAAAATTGCACTTACAGTAATACTTTTAATTTCACATATCTTTATGTTTACTGCTCTGCAAAAGACAGTTTCTCATGCATCAAATAGTTTAAAAGGTACAGTGGAACCCCACCTCTTAATGCTTAGAGCCTGAGGGAACAGCATGAAGTTGTGTCAGGGATATTAGGAGAAGGTTTTTCACCCTGAGGGTGGTTGAGAACTGTAACAGGCTCTCCAGAGCAGTGGTCACTGCCCAAATCCAAATGTATAAGGAAAATTACATGCATTATATTAACTAATGGTAATGGACATGGGATATTCACATTGACATCAACATTCACAACTTTGCCTTTTGCACACATCTCTTGAGCTCTGTACGCTTTTTGGTTTTTCATTGAAACTACATAGGCATAGCCAAAACATTAGCAGTTACAGAGATTACCTGTTTTTAAAATGTCAGCCTCTAGGAAAAAGACTAAGATCCTTCTCTATTTGTCAGTGCTTCATAAGGTCACTGAAAACTCTTAAAAATGCCTTAGATCATAATACAAATGTGGTTATATAACATCTAACATGCCAGACTGATCAATCACTCCACTTGCTTATTTCAAAGTAGAATTCTCACTCAAATCCTCCTTCAGCTTTCTTGCTCTCTTCTAAAGCACATGAACTATCATGATCTTTTCCCATATTTAAATTAATCTTTTTTGTTGTAGATTTCTCTGCTAAAATAGTGTACATCTGCCTCCCTACTGGCATAAGATGAAGCCACAGAAGTGCTTAAACACAAAATCTGAAGCCTAATCTTACATGGGAGCAAACACCACCTTTCATGTTGCATGAAAATTTGAAAGAGTTAAAATTGCTATTAAATTACTCGCAAAGATTTCAATAAAGCATGTAATAACACTGCTATGTTTAAAATGGTCTGAGGAAAGCTGGATGAGTTCATCCTTGTTTGTTCTTTCCAGTCTACCTATAAATACATACATATCTGTACATTATTACAGCTGTAGCCGATAAATAAACGTACTTTTGTTAGTTTTCCAGTTTGTAGAATTCGACACATATTGCCACGATCTACTAAAAGGATCCATCTCCAAGTCCTCAAACCACTCAACTACATATTCTGTTGCTTCTGGTTTAGAGACTACCCATTCCACAACCACTTCTTCATTTGATGGTAAGGTCCTCGCTGTTCCATTAATCTGAGCAGCTAAAAATTTAACAGATAATATCAGCAATTCTATTTTCATAAAAACTTCAAAAATACATACAGAATCCAAAGACAAGTCTCTCTTTTAGAATCTGAATTTTACAGTTTGTAAAATTTTGCAAACCAATTTACTATCAATTTTGCAGTTTGTGCAGATAAGCAAGTTTTGATTGAGACGATAAAGGCAATAGAAGAACCGTAAAATAAGTCAGCAAGGTCACGAGTGACAGTGAAGCAAAAGCGCACCATGAGCCTGCAGAACAGACGTAATAAAAGTCTGACTGAAAACACCACCTGGCAAAGCAGAGGCAAAAAAGACCTGACGAAGCAGAGGAAAAAACAGATGCCTCTAGGGGTGGGGAGGGGAAAGCATGTCACAGCATGGAAAAATCAGAAAAACATTTATGGTGGGATACAGAAGTGAGTAGAGAGGTAGTCAGAAACCTCCAGGGCAAGATGACAGCACATCTACACATCCAGTTTTTTGATTAGAAATGGAATTTGATTGAGCAGTTTCAGGGAGACACTTGCACTTATTTCATGAACAACTGATACAGAAATTATTCAAGTGTTTCAAATGTAGACTGTCTTCTAGATTATGGTAGGCAGCAGGATGTTGGAATACAAGGCTCACAGAGGTATCAGAATTAAACATAAGAGCCAAAGAGCTCAGCTGTTGTGCTAGAGCAGACCAACTTCCTGACCCTGGCAGTGGGTGGGATGAGGTACTTCGGGAATGTACACGAAATGAGAATAAAGGCTTCTCTCTCTGCTTCCACTGAGACATCTTAGAGACTTCTATTTAAGGCATCTTTGAATGATGCTGTTTAATGCTCTGCAATATTGTCCTGCGGTAACCAATTTTATGATCTAGCAAAGGGATGTGACAGAATCGGGTAGCACTCTATAAATTTATTTGGGAGGTACTAGGTTAGAAAAAAACCACAAACCAAACCAAAAAACCCTCAGAAAATAATACAATGGAAATAATATAGAAATAAACATCAGAAAGTATTCATATGTTAACAACTGTATCTCAAAATAAAATCCCTAACAATAATCATCTATAACAGATGCATGACAGCAAAACACAACAACAAGATATAGATATAGATATAGGTATGGATATAGATAAAGATGTATGATAGAAGTCCTTAACACAATTCTGCTTCCACTATAGCAAAACTTAAACAGATGTCACGAAGATAATTTTTTTGTTAATGAGAAAAATATGGCATTGAGAAATCTTACTTTTTTCATCTGTGGATGGAATCCTCAAAATAGCTTCAGGAGAATTTCCAGCAGAGTTATAGGCAGTAACAGATACTATATGTGCCTCTTCATTTAAAAGTAAAGTGATTTTCTTGTCAGTAGAGTTGTTTATCATTTTAAGTTCAGTCTTGTTTTCTGGAAAATACTGTATTTTGTAGCCTAGAATTCTCCCAGAAGGTGGAAAGCTATTTAATGGCTATTAAAAAAAATAAGCAGTAGTAAGTGTTTCACAGTGTTATTTGCATAACCAAAAACATATGTTGCATTGAAGAGTCCATATCAAATTACAAAATGATTTATACCATATTTAGAAAAGCAAGGCATTTTCTTCAGTCCCATTTTCAGGACAGAAAGCCATAACAATTTCCTTGAAGGAAAGGTTCAAAAGTCCTGAGATTTGAAACGCAAAAAGTCTTTGGACACTTTTTAGAAGATTAAAGTGAATTTAACATAGCTTTGATAAGCCATATTATTTAAAAGTAGTTGTAAAGACTTTCAATCAGATTCTCCAGTGATCTGAACACAATTTAATGCTTCCTTTCCAAAGACATTACAAAACTCTATTCATCTACCATTTAGTAAACAAAAGCCTTTTTAATTCTGCTTTAGTTCAGTGAGGTTTTTTCTGATGACAGCAAACGCCCCTGGCAGTTATATGTCCTACAACACTAAAATACTTAAACACAACATCAGTTACAGGATACCAATATGATTATCAATTCACATAAAGAGTATAAAAAACAGTATATACCTTCCACATAAGATGTACGAATCTACTTCCAGGTGAGTGTGAAGACTCAATTACCCTCCACAAATCCACTTTTTCTAAAGGAGCTATATAAGGACAAAAAATAAATTGAATATCTTTGCTATATTAAAAAGATAGTCTAATATGGTAAAACAAACAAAAGGTTTCAAACATACAGACTGAGAGAAAGTTAATAAAAATAAGTTTTCTCTTGTGCAATGCTGTGCCTTTTCTCCCCTAGTAAGTACAGCTTCTCTCTTTCCATAAGTTTCCTTCTGCTTTCTTTTATAGTTAAGTATCAGAGTTTCCTAGAGGAGATTTTGTAGTCTTGTTTTATAACTGGAAATTTAGTGTCTCTACTTATGATTAATTTTATTGAACATACTTGCTATACTACATTTCTGCTACTATCCTATTTTGCAATGTTCAATCTCCATCTGCACTCCTAATTTTCCCTCTCTTCACTGTCTACTCACCCATTTTCTTCCTTAGCCCTACATTCTTTGAATCACTTTTCAAATCTCCTCCACTACTTGCTCTTGTGTTTTAGTTTTCCTCTTCTATCTTTAAACAAAATACACATGCTCTGTTTAAGCAACAGAATTCTAAATGCAATAGACAATAGACTGAAAACACAGTTCATTAAATCCTAATGCCTCAAGGTATAACTAAAGAAAACTTTTACAGGTAGTCAGCCCACCTTTCTCTTTCGTGCTTCCACTTTTCTCTCCACTCCATTCACTCCAAAATATTGATTCATTACTGATACACCGAACAGCAACAGAATATTCTGTGGAGTCCCACAGACCTGTGAGATTACATGATCCTGTTTTCTCTGCAGAATTCAGTGGGACAGTGACATATTTCTGAAAGTAGGTACATGAACAAAATTATTTGATAGAAAATTGTGTGCAGATATTTGACTTATTAAAAAAAAAATGAAACAAAAATAACACAAAAGACGCAATTTTAACGTTTCCAACCTCACCCCTTTGAGACTCAAGACTGTATTTCATTTTTCTGTGTAGCCTCTTCATTCTTCCGATAAAACCTCAGAGTTTGAAAAACTTGAGCCAAAACTAGATCTGTACTGGCTGTCCTGTGACTTGAATTGTGTACAGCTCACACATGATTCTAGAGCAGTTGTGCTGGCACAGGAGGGGCTGGATGAATGCAGTTCCCACTGATGGGAAGCAGTTGGTTATTGCAAAGCTATTATCACAACAATATCCCACAACGGCATGCTGGGAGAAGCATTTTGTGAGCCAGCTGGGTACTTCTTTCCTTTCTTCTTTTTCTTTTCTGAGTTACAAGGTTTTCTAGCTCTTAGCCATACAATAGTGTGGCTGTAAGCCGTTCCAAAGATTATCAGCAAAGGATTAAAATGAGAAGACAAATGAAATACAAAAAAGTTTGATATCAAGAGGAAAAGAAAAAGAAGATGGAGCCTTCAAGTGGTGAAGGAAGACGAGAGCATGAGAAATCACTGATGCAGTATATTTTTGGAAAAGTAATGACAAGGTGAGTAATTTCTTTGTCTTAAAAGGAGCTCCACTCACTTCTCACTGATAGAAGTCAGAAGCTAGATTACTCTTCCAAAACAAATAAAATAGATATGAAGACCAGGAACTGGAGTTGATGCACCAACTCAAGTGGACTGACAACATGAAGCAGAAAAAAACAACAGGAACTGTAGAAAGATAAGTATTTGTGAACAGAAGGACTGATATAATCACTATACCAACATTAACGTATTATCTTCCAAATTGCAAAAATTACTCAATAATTAACAACTCTTCCCCTCTTAAATTTCAGATTACTGAAACAGAAAGACACCAAAATAAATGTTCAAGCTAGCTAAATTCTAACAATGTCACCAAAGGCAAGTTTTTGAATAAGGAAGATTCCTTCTTGGGAGCTGAACTGAAGTAGTAAAGTCACATAGATTCTCAGTAGGACTAAAAAACTGTGAAGAAATTCTTGTCTTCTACCACCTGAACCTTCCAATAAAAAGTGAATCAAACTATAACAATATAAAATGCAGACACCCACTCCTATAAACACCACAGTGGGAAATGCACTGTCTAATGAAACTGAAATTTTTAGTCCATTCTGATCCCAAGAAACTCATTGTCAAAAAAAGAAAACTGCTTCTATGAGAATGAATTCAGGGACCTACAAAGCACTCTATGTGACAGACTCTTTATTGAACCTACAGCAAAAAGGGCTTCAAAACTATTATTAGCCTCCTGCAGAACCTGACATAGAACTGGAGACACCACAGACTAGCTTTTAGTTACTTGCCAAAAGGCTGTTAACAATATTTCATCATAATCAGAAACTTAGTAGAAACTCGGTATATGCAGATAGAAAAACAGGTAACCTGTTTTCACTCAGTAAAAACAGTTCACACCAAACTGTTTAGACTGGTTTTTTGGTAGGACAGCTTAAAAGGCTCAAATATTCTTTTTGTTCATTTGTTTGGGATTTTTTTTTTTTCACATATGTGCTGACAGAAAAGCACCTTCTATGTCTTTACTGATCATGGATAGTTACTGTTTTTTCTCTAGATTATCTGTGGGAAAATGCAGGTAAGATGTGAGGAAGCAAATGGACGTAGACTGTATTCAATGCTGGAAAAGCAGAAAGGTGATTTCTAATGCAGGTGCTGAAAAACAGACACAATACACAATAAAGCTATAACTTTACAAAAATGTGAATGTTTTCAATGCTGGGGAAGGACCCCACAGCAAGCAAGCATCACAAGGACACCAGTGCCCTGACTCCAAAGGGATAAACATCTTGAACAGGTCTTTTTAATAACTATTAGTTCCATTTCTAATATCCCAAGTGGATTTGAGCTATTCTGCCCATCCAATCATCCCAAATATTATATCTCGACTCCAAAAATCAGTATGTCATCTACAGTAGAGATGCTTGCCATGAAAATGTGAAAAGAATGCTAATTAGAATCATCTTCAGTATTAAGAACTTCTTGAAAGCTCTGAAGACTACCTTGATGAATTCTTCTCTCACAAAATTACACATACAATGTATGAAACAGTAAGATCAAGGCAGACAGCTAAGTCCAATGAACTCAGAAAAGTAAGCCAAGGAACCTGTACCATTCTTGAATTTGACAGAGGAAACAGTAAAACTACAAACAGAATCCCTTCCATATTGAGGAGCATAGGAATAGATAATTTGGCACCTGCATTTCCATTTAACTGTCAGAAAGATAAACTCAGAAAAATAACTTCCCTTATTTTCTATCCTGTAAAATTCATATTTTAGTTCACTTTAAACTTAATGTAACATTAGTCCCTCTTAATCAGATTCAACTATTTTGTTAGGGAGTAAGTGATGTTTTCCACACCAGAATGCAAGGGGAAAATAAAATATTTTGATTGACTGCCTGTGTAATCCCTTGGCCCAGGATCATCCCTTAAGCCTTTCAAAGAAATATACTGAGAAGTATGGTATGTACAAAACAGAAAAGGAGCAAAAGAAAGAGAACAATTAATCCTAGATAACAAAACAATGTTCTTAAAACCATGAATACCTTATTACATTCCATTAAAATAACAAGTTTTTAAACATTAGTTCAAACTAATTGTTGCCTTTTTCCTATTTAAACTTTTATAACATTAGTCAGTATTAGTCACAAAGAGACTAGCATTCAGAAGAAAAATGATGTAACTTACTGTAGAGTTTGAATACAAGTTTCTGTATTGAACCTGGCAAGTTAAATCTTGTGAAGGGACAATCTTCTCAGGCATTTTCCAGGTTACTGTAAGTAACTGCTTTATACCGCTGATTGTTTTAACTAAAAGTATTTCAGGAGGGTCAAATTTCTCTAGAATGCAGGGAAAAAAAAAAAAAAAAACCATTAAGAGGAGAAAATGCCTCTATAAAAGTCTAGAATTTCTCTGGCTATGTGTGTTCCAAGAAGTTTAATCAGTATCCCAGTAACACATGTCCTATCAGAGTATTCATGTGATAGTCTGTTTCACAGACATAACTCTAAGTTTGGGAAGTTGTCTTTAAGAAATTGCACATATAACTGATTTAATTAAATGGGACTTTGAACTACCTGGTCTAGCAGAAGGTGTCCCTAGCCAGTCAAGCTTTTCTATGATTTTGCTCACAAACCTGCTCTCAAACACATGTGCAGATTTCTTTCATCTGTATCAGCACTGAAAAATACTACTCAGAGATAACAGCAGGGAAAATAAATAAAGCAGGGCTGGGATGCGAAAGACAAGTCTGAACTGCAGAGGAAGGAAGAATTCAGCTGAAAATGGTTTGAGGGGAAGAGAAGTGTGAAGGACAAAGTGGGGAAAGAATGGATTAGCAAAGAGGAAAGAGATGGCTGGCACAGAGAATGTGAAGAGTAATGAGGAGCCATAGCAGGTTGGAACATAGGAATAAAGGAGCATATGACTGGAAAGTTGACGAGTGTTGCAGCAATAAGGATTATTGATTATCTACACCAAAGTGAACAGAGGAAAATAGAGCACAGGGCAGGGAGAAGAGGTAGACAAAATATTTATTTTTGCTCCTGTGTGCAATTATTATTACTGCACACAGAACAGGTGGTTTTTAACATGCCTAACCAGAAAGTAGAATAGCAGAGTAAATGATAGGCGGCCCTGGAGAAATTACAGCTGGGTGTTGCAGTACATTTAGTACCACTCAGGAATAGAAAAGTACAGTCCAAGTACCGCTTAGTTCAACAAAAAGCTTTAGTATATTGCCTTTACTTGTCAATAATTAAAACTTAGTAATTTATAATGGATACATCAGACATTATCTTAAAAAAATATTGCTGCAGTTAGGTGTTTCATAGTATGAATACAGCACCCTGTCATTTTTCATTAACTCTCTGTAAAATCAAGAAACTTATGAAAATTACTGCTGTAACACACCACTTTGAAGAATTTTATACAGAAAGACCATCAATTAAATCTTTATTTAACTCTTCTTTAATTACCTATTTTTCCCATAGCTATAGGAACACACTTCGATAAGGCTTCACCCAAAACATTTTCAGCTTTCACCTGAAAACAAAAAGCACTACTATACGGAGTATCTGGATATAGAAATGAACATGACTCTGTTTTACTCTGGCAGGAGCTGACTATAGTATTTGGATTAGTCACCCTAAAAAACATAAGAGAAAAATTATAGGAGTTAGAGATTTTTCTTAGAATAATTCAAACTCACTATTGGGTTATTATTTATAGATTTTTGAGGTTGCAAGACTTTTCTACCAGTGAACATCTTTAGATGATTTGTTTGTGCAATGAATACTCTTTCCTAATGGTACTGCTTATGCAAATGCATATAAATAGTCTGCACAGACTCAGTTAGTTTTAACTGCAATTAGTAAAACCATTTTCCAGGAGCAGAGCAAAGCGTAAAAAGGCCTTAATAGGAAATCCACATGCTGTGATTATTTTTTATTAAAATCTCAAAGAGAAGTGAAATCATATAACTCCATATAGGACTTCCTTTAAAAATACAGACAGGTTGATTGAGCTAGTAACACATGCCACATGGAACTATGTAATAACAAGCTTTTATTCATTTTTTAAATACAGAAAAAAGCCAAAATCCACCACTGCCAAACTATCCCAAGGCAACAGAAATTTGACAGAAAGAACATACTGACAATATGTTGTCTTTACAGCATTTACTTTCATAATAAATAGTGTAGAATGCAAAACTAACAAAATATGTTTCATTTTACTGACCCACAGAGAAATTCTTCAACTAATGAAAACTCAGATAAGGGGCTTGTGCTAAATGTTCCATACGATGCAGTAAGCAAGCAGATAATTTTGTAACTCAAAATGCTTTTTGGGGCTGGTATTTCGTCAACATTTTAAGCTAGTGTAAGCCTGTGCTGCCGCAAAAAGCAGCAGTCCAACCTTCTCTATCATGCAGGGCTGTTGGTTTCCACCCATGGCTCTCCACCTGTTGTACCAATGCTTTTGTAGTCATACGTTAAACTCAGCTGGGGAGTTACCTGGATGAAAATTAATGGTTAGATTTGACTGGAAATAGTTCTGCAGTCCAATTCACTGTATGGTTAATGAAGAATTTGTGCGTGTAGAGGAAACATACTTTCAATAGCTTCTGATTTCGCTAACTCAGCTAAGTTATAAGTCATATAAGCACCAGAAGAAGTAAGAAAGTTCCACATAGAAAAAGTAGAAGCCTAAAATGTCAAACCTACAATGGAGATAAAACTAAAGAGGTTTTCCTACCCTACAATTTCAACCTAATTAGTAACACTACTTCAAGGGAACAAGCACATATCACTTCTGATATAAACATTTCTCTACTGAACATTGGGTTGAGCATGCTCAATTTCTTTATACAGCACAGTAAAAAGATCGTTGTAACTTTTTTCAACAATTACCAACCCTGAATTAATTAATTCAATTTACATTAATGCCATGATGTTTCTGAATTCCATGATGTTTCCAGGTTGTCTTTAAACAGAAGTCAGGATGAGAGGGAAAGCAGGCTGGTTATCACACTCCAGCAACCCAGCTCCCAACACCTCCTATACTTACAGTTTTCGGTAAAGAGTATAGTTTCTTGTAAAACTTGTTTTTCTTCCTGAATTCCAGGTACAGGTAAGGTTATCATCAAAGTAATAAATGCAGGAAATATTTTCCGGAGTGTCTGGAGGAACTGCAATGATAAAGGTTTAAGAAAAAAACAACCCAGTGCAAATAAGTAATTTTAATGTACAGCTGATTTTGTTGGTCAAAAAGCAGATTATGGCAAACTTCACCCAATGTATTGCACAGCGCTTCATTTTATTATTCCTTACTGCCCTCTAAACTCTTCATAAGATCAAAATCAAAACCAGTCCGTCTTTCCCTGGGGAGACAGAGAGATTTTCTCCAGCTACTTCTTGAAAATACTTTACTAGGTGGTCTAAAGGCAGCAACCGATTAACTAGCTTGTATCAAACCACTATATACACTGTCCTGAACCTCTAAGTACACACATACCCCACCTCCCACCTGCAACACACTGTAGCTCAATGGCAGTCCTGAAAGTAAGAGAAAAACAAAGAAATAGTACAAATGTTCCAAAAAAAGAGGCATACTTTGAAAGACAAAACTCCTCTTGATTCCCTCAGAGAACATCTAATCACATACAGAGTGCAGAAGACAAATTCCTGGGAAACAGATCTAGGTGACCTTGAAGAGATCACTAATTCTGGACTCTCTTTATCTCTTTATGCAAGACAGCATAAAGGAAACAATCTTCTACAATCTCTGTAGTCTGAAATCATCCACAAAAATGTAACACCCTCAAAGATTTCTTTGTTACAGCTAGGTTACTTCACTGGTTAGAAAAAACTGGAGTGGAAAGGAGGAAAACTGTGCCCCCATTGAAATAAATTGGATGAAAAAGCCCTCTTTTCAAAATAGTACTTTTCTGTCCCATCTAATAGAACATTCAAAAGAACTTTCTGTTATTGACAAGTTTATGGCACAATGATCTTCCCAGACAAGCAATACTTTCCGCTGGATTTTATTCTACACATGTCTTTCTGCATTTATTGCTTCTTTATTAGAATGGGACCTCCAGGCATACATTTGTATAATCTGGACTTAATCTGTTCAATAAACTAGAGAATTCATATACATACTTCAACCTTCTCCGTAAGAGATTTATAACTAAAATTTCTTTGGAAGAGAGGACTAGAGAGGAAGTCCTCTCTGGAGAAAGCCAAATATGGCTAAGTTAGACAAAAGATATAACAAAGGGATATACCCAGTACTGTTGGAACTCATCAGAAAATTTCAACTGGCTAAAAGCTGGGATCAGAGAGGTTTTAGACCAGTGTCAGTAAGGAATGCCCGTACATTCATACTTTATTTCAGGGGGAAAAAAAATGAGATACTTGAATACAGGTGTTTTATGATGCCACAAGATAAAAAACCAAAAGTAGCTCTTTTAAAAGCAAAATTACTAGAGTAAAAATGTTAAAATCAATTTTTCTGTATTTCTACTTACAGCCAGATTTAAATTCTTTGTGAACCAGAAGCTGTTCCTTGTCCAAGTACTTCATGAAACATTCCAGATAAGCTGTGCTGTAGGTGAAATTAGGGATGGTTATACTAGATACAGTCTCATTCACAATGTTATAATTCTCTGGAGCAATCAATTCATCATTCAATTTCCAGATGATGTGGCTTGCATTTCTGTGAGGCATGTGGTGTTTTCCAAGAATACAAAATCGTTTCAGGGAGGATCCTCTTTTAATTTCAGCAGATGAAGGAAAAATGTCAGCATCTCTGATAGAGTTTTCATCTAAAAACAAAATCAAAGCATCACATAGCCTAATTAATCTTAAAATACCAGTGGAAAAAACTGTAAGTTATTTTGTTGTCTAAAAATAATTTATTTTTTTTTGTCAAAGAGAATTCAAATAAAATGCTCAGTTAGTCACTCAAATCAGACACTGCTGTTTGAAAACTCAGTTCATATGAATTACTATATTAGAGTAGGTGTTACATTGGAGTGACATTTCTAAAACTTCACTAAAATAATTGGGACATTTCAACTCAGATGTCTCTAGTTCTAACAGAAGAAAAATTTGATTTTCTAAAACATTCCTATATGTAAAATACATGCATACCATTTACATGTTATCATTACTAATTACAATATCAGAAAATATATCAAACTTATAAGGTTAAAATTTACAGCCAAGCTGCAATATATTTCAATATCTCATTAGCACCTGTACACCTCTTAGAATTTATATTGCCAGATAGAATGTAGGAATTGTAATTAAAATACATGTAAAAGAAAAACATTTAAGTGGGCTGAATGAATGAATTCAACACCAAAGTTATCAAACAGTGCAAAAATCACCCATTAAAGTCCTGCAAAGAGCTACCTCTTTTGTGTTGTTTTGTTTTGCTGTTACTTATTTCTTGAAGCCAAATTTCATAAATTTGTAATTATTAAATCATTAATAAGTTTAATAAATAAATCTGTACAGAAGAGGACATCAAGACTGCCATAAATTAATTTTTCTACATATAATTGTGATAAATAAATAATTGTGACTCGTGAAACAAATGGGTGATTACATCAAAATAAAACAAACGGATTGTAAAACTTAATTACACCCCCATAAAGAAATAAAACAGACCCTTACAAGGTCAAGGGGCTATAAAACCTCCTTACTATCCTAAGAATAAAATATGGTAGAACTTTAAATCTTTTAGGCGCCTGTTTGTCCAAGAATGCATGAATTATGATCGGTTGTAGAGATAACCATTTAGCTTTGGCTGTAAGAAAACCCATATATTAAATGCTTAGCAAAAAACTGTAAAATGTATATGTATATGATATAATTAATATGCATGAAGTAGCTAAGAAAATGCCAAATGTACACTGTAGTAGGAGTGCAGATTTGGGAAATTTGTCCCCATTTCTGTCACCCAGCCGGCTGCCTGCTTTTACCATATAATAAACTCCTATTCAAAAACTTATAGAAATGAGACTTTGTTTATCACATGCTGTACACTACTTAATCAACCTACTTTTAAAATACACTATTCTGTTTTCAGAACTCTTCAAAATTTCATTTGGAGGACATCGCTTTTTGGAAAATTTTCTTATGGCAAAACAGGTACTAATAATCAAGAAACATACCTGCTACAGAGCTGTAGAGCAGGACAAACATCCAAATCAAAGTGCTGAACATTTCCTTCTCAGTAACTACAGGCACGAAATGCTGTCATAAAAAAAAAAAATGAAAATAACATACTTCAAGTAGAGATGTCCCTGTAATACTTTGTTAGTATTTGTGTAAGAGTTAATAATGCTATTTAGCATTTCTCACTTGTATTCAAATTAATTATTGTTTTCTCTGAGTGTTACTTTCCTGCACAATGGAAGAAATTCCATGCAGTTCTCCTAAGATAAAAATCTTGGAAAGTATTTTATAATCTTTGAGGCTAGGACAGCGTGAAACAGGAGAAAAAACATTAAAAAGACACATGGGATAAAAAGAAAATGAGGGTAGAGTTTGTCCAGTGACACACTCCAAAAAACCAGCAGTACTAAGATGTTTTCCAAGAGGAAACAAATCCAGTACATAAAGAGAATCTATTACTACTTCAATTGTCTATGGTGTATGTTCTTAAAGCAGTAAAGACAGGTTACACTATCGATGTCAATAAAGAAAAGAACCTTCAGCAATTGTTCCAAGTATTCCACATCAGCATACCTACAGAAGCTTTTCTTATTGCCCTTGATGTTCCTGGCCAGATTTAATTCTATCAGGGCTTTAGCTTTCCTCACCTGATCCCTGGCCGCTCACTGTATTCCACCCAGGCTACCTGTCCCTGCTTCTACCCTCTGTAGACTTCCTTTTTGTGCTTGTGTTTGTCCAGGAGCTCCTTATTAATCCAAGCAGGCCTCACAGTGTTTCTGCCTGACCTCCTCTTTGCTGGGATGCATTGCTCCTGAGCTTGAAGAAAATTATCCTTGATTATCATCCAGCTCTCTTGGGCCCCTCTTCCCTCCACGGCTTTATCCCACAGTACTCTACCAAGCAGATTCCTGAAGAAGCCAAATTCTGCTGCCCTTAAGTCCAGGGTAATGAGCCTATTGTCCTGGCTGCCTTAAGGATTTTGAACTTGAGCATTTCACGGCCATGGTAGCCAAGACTGCCCTTGAGCTTCACCTTTCTACCAGTCCCTCCTTGTTGGTGAGAACAAAGTACAGCACAGCATCTCTCCTCATTGGCTTCTCTGTCACTTGGGTGCCCTACTGTGTTGTCCCTCCAACAGATGTTGGGGTGGTTGAAGTTCCCCATGAGGACCAGGACATGTGAACACGAGGTTCTTCCTATCTGTCTGTAGAGGGCCTCATCCACATGGTCTTCCTGGTCAAGTGCCCTGTAGCAGACTCCCACTATAATGTCCCCTGTCCCTGCCCACTCTTAAATCCTGACCCATAAGCTCTTGTTTGGCTCATCCATCCCCAGGAGAAGCTTCATGCTCTCCAGCTGATCATTGACATATAGGGCAACACTGCCTCCTCATCTCCCCTGCCTGTCCTTCCTAAAGAGCCTACATCCTTCCATTCCAATGCTCCAGTCATAGGAACCATCCCGCTACCTCTCCACGATGTCTGAAGATCACAGCCCTGCAGGCATGTGGTACACACCTAACTCGTCTTGTTTATTCCCCATAATAAAATTTCTGCTTATATTCTGCACATTCCGGTTTGTTGTTTTCAAGGGTATATGAAACAGAAGAGGCTACATTTCAGCCAAAATAGTTCAGCTGTTTTCAAGAATAAAGACAACATTTCCTTACCATATTCCTTTAATAAGCTCCAGAAATCCCACACTATTTTAGCAAGGAATTGGAACTCAGAAGCATTGGGAAATCGTGAAAACATTTCTGAATTATCCTTGTGCCAAGGACAGTGCTGTGAAACAGAGCACTGAAAGAACAAATGTGGCTGTGATGCCAATTTAGAAGCCTTTGAAAAATTCTGATTTCACACGCTCACCAGAAAGATTAAACAAAGATCCCGTCCACACTCAGTGGGTGCTCCTCACCCTGTAACAACAGCTACTTTTTCCCCCTTCTTCTACTGCTCCTCTAGTGCCCTACTTCCCACACAGTTAGTCACTTCCACATGCCAAAATAGCAGAAAACTAAGAAAAAACAAAAGAATTTGTGCTACATTAGCAAATGTAAGCAACTTGCTTACACGGTTAGACAGTCATCTTAGATGGTGAAATAGAGGAGAAGACTAGGGAGAGAGACCTCCATAACATTTTTTCCTAGCTGTGAGCTGTTAATTTGGTTCAGTCCTCCTGCTTCCACTTTCTCTAGTACCAATTAGCAGCTGTTTATTTGACATGCCAGCTGCTAGTTACTACCCGCCAGAAATAAGGGTAGTGACTCTGCAGGTTACAATGCTGCTCAAGCCTCATCTGCTTGTCATGATACTGATGTGTGACTAAAGAGCTCTTTGGCTGTTTACTGTTGCACAGGTAAAAGTGATGAAAAAACATGTCTGAGTGAAAGTCACATTATAAATTTAGAAGTATTTCACTTAAGACACCTATGCAAGGTAAATGCAGATAACTAAACAAATGGCATGAACAGAACCATCTTCTTCAAATAATTCAAGAATTGATTCACCAAACCCAGATTTCTTGCAGGCAGATGCAATCTCAATAAAGGTCACATTAAATAAATAAAACTTGTGTAACATAGTTGATGAAACAATATTTTCTTTATACTTCAGATTTTCCATTTTCATTTTGGAATGTCAGTGTTTGAAAGTGCTATGGTTTAAAAATTTAAAGGAACCAGAGGGAAAAATTATCCAAAGTAACTTTTTGCCATACTGTATTTAAGACCATTTCTTATCACTCTTCTCCATTTCAGGACAGGAAATCTTTTTCCATTCAGATCCAATTTTAAGATTGTTTTTAACTACATGCACAATTCTGCATGCAGTGTAGATGTTACACCAGGAATAAAGAACATGCCACATCGATAAATGGAAAGGCAGTATGTCATAGAAGCATAGAGTGCTAAGGGGTTGGAATGGACCTTAAAGATCATCCAATCCCAGATTCCTCTGCCATGGGCAGGGACTCCTCCCACTAGACAACACTGCTCAAGGCTTTATCCAACCTGGTTTTGAACATTGCAATGACTGGAGCATCCACAACCTCCCTGGGCAACCTGCTCCACTGTCTCAGCAACTACACAGCAAAAAATTTCTTTTTCTAAACTTCCCCTCTTTCAGTTTGTACCCATTACTTCTTGTCCAATCAATACAGTTCCTGACAAAGAGTCACTCTGGATTTTCTGTAGGCCCCCTTCAGATACTGGAAGGTGCTCTGAGGTCTCCACATAACCTCTTCTCCAGGCTGAACAGGCCCAACTTTCTCACCCTGTCTTCATAGGGGTGGTGCTCCAGTCCTCTTATCAACTTCATGGCCCTCCTCTGGACTTGTTCCAGCAGTTCCACGTCCTTCTTATGTTGGGGACCCCAGAGCTGGATGCAGCACTCCAGGTGGGGTCTCACAAGAGCAGAATAGAGGGACAGAATCACCTCCCTTGACCTGCTGGCCATGCTGCTTTTGATGCAGCCCAGGATTTCGTTGGCTTTCTGGGCTGTGAGCACACATTGCCAGCTCATGTTGAGTTCCACATCAACCATCACCCCCAAGTCCTTCTCCACAGAGCTGCTCTCAATCATTTCTCCCCCAACCTGTAGGTGTGTCTAGGATTGCCCTGACCCAGGTGTAGGACCTTGCACTGTGCTTTGTAGAACTTCATGAGGTTTGCATTGAGACCTGTCAAGGTCCCTCTGGATGGCATTCTTTCCCTCCAGCATGTCAACCGCAACACAAAGCTTAGCACTAAGGGTGCGCTCAATCCCACTGTCTGTGTCATCAACAAAGGTGTTGAACATGTCCCAGTACTGGCCAGTGAGGGACAGCACTTGTCACTGGTCTCTGTGTGGACAATGAGCCACTGACCACAACTCTTTGTGTGCTGCCATCCAGCCAGTTCTTTATCCACCGAGTGGTCCATCCATCAAATCCATGTCTCTCCAGTTTAGAGACAAGGATGTCATGTGGGACAGTGTCAAACGCTTTGCAGAAGTCCAGGTGCAATGCTCTGCCCCATCCACAAATACTGTAGGCCCCATTATAGAAGGTCACCACATTTGTCAGGCATGATTTCCCCTTTGTAAAACCGTGCTGACTGTTACCAATCACCTCTTGGTTTTCCACAGCTTCCATAGCACAGTTTCCAGGAGAATCTGCTCAATGATCTTGCCTGGCACAGAGGTGAGACTGACTGGTCTGTAGTCCCCCGGGTCTTCCACTTTCCCCTTTTTAAAACTGGGCATTATATTTCCCTTTTTCCAGTCGTCAGGGACTTCTCCTGACTGCCATGATTTTTCAATAATGATGGATAGTGGCTTAGCAACATCATCTGTCCATTCCCTCAGGACCCGTGGATGTTTCTCATTGGGTCCCACGGACTTGTGCACATTCAGGTTCCTCAGATGGTCTCAGACCCAATCCTCTTCTACAGTGGGTTTAGAGTCATCATTCTCCCAGTCCCTGCATTTGCCTTTCTCAGCTCGGGTGAAATGGCTGGAGAACTTGCTGCTGAATACTGAGGTATTGAAATGGCTGAGAACATCGTCTTTCTCTTTGTCCAGGGTATCCAGGTCTGCTGTTTCCTTCCGAAGAGGGCCCACATTATCCCTAGTCTTTCTCTCCTTGCAACTTGTCTATGGAATTGTGCTCAGTGCCCAGTGCCGAGCACAGGGGGATGATCACTGCCCTGATCCTGCTGACCACACCATTGCTGATCCAAGCCAGGATGCCATTGGCCTTCTTGGACACCTGGGCATACTGGGACACCTGGGCAAACAAACTGAGGGCAAACTTGATTCGCTTGTCAAGATCATCAATTAAGATTAATTAAACACGACAGGCCCAAATCCTGAGCCCTGGGGAACACCACTGGTGACTGGCTGCCAAACAGATGTGGCACCATTCACCACCACTCTTTGTTGCAGTCATCCTTGAGAATTTTTAACATCTTTGCTGGAATGTGGCAGGGAATGCCTTCCTACCAAGTCTGACACTCTTCTATCAACTATGAAAGAGGAAAGAAGCAGAATAAACACTCCTTTTATTTAGTCTTCACTATCAATTGCATCTCTGCCATGTCG